GAGTGGAGACCCAAAGCCCATTTCTAGGCCACTGGAGATCCCCTTGTAGAGGGATGTCGGGGAGGAGACGAGCCAGTCAGGGTGCGATGTAACAACGATGAAAAATACAACTTTCCTCTAGTTTCTAAATACTTCCTCCCGGCCCCCACTATCATGATCTGAATTCTACCTTGCAAGTCTACATAGACCAGAAGATGTACATTGGTACAGATAGGAACCGGAAGCAACAGGAATCCAGGGCGGACGATCCCTTCGGGACCAGTGGTGAGAGTGGCGATACTGGGTGGGTAGCGGGAGAGTGGGTTGTAAAGCGGAAACTGATTACAAGGATCTACATGTGACCTCCTCCCTGGGGGATGGACTACAGAAAAGTCGGTGACGGGAGATGTCGGACAGGGCAAGATATGACAAAATAATAATTTATAAATTATCAAGGGCTCATCAGGGAGAGGGTTAGTGGAGAGGGAAGGGAAAAATGAGGACCTAATGCCAGGGGCTCCAGTGGAGAGGAAATATTTTTTAAATGATGAGGGCAATGAATGTACAGATGTGCTTTACACAATTGATGTATGTAAGGGTTGTAATAAGAGTTATATGAGACCCTAATAAAACGATTAAGCAAAAAGAATTGGTGCATTTGAATTGTGACATTAGCAAAGAATATTAAGAGTAAATCAATCTGGGCAGAAGTATAGGCAGAATGCTCTTTAGAAGGGATTTTTTGTCCTGTACTTAGTACACATCATCAGAAGAGACCAGTCCTGGGAAAAGAACAGCATGCTTGGTGAAGTAGATGGTCAGTGAAAAAGAAGACCCTTGGTGAGATGGCCTGACACCGTGACACAACCACCAGTCCAAGCACAACACCTGTGAGGAGGATAAGCACTGTGGTACATAGGATCACTATGTGTCAGAGCCAACTTGATGGCGATTAATGGCACCTAGGACTGCTCTTCATAGATTTCCTACAAGGACACGGGAAAATGATGGCAGCTTTGAAGAAGTTTTAAGAAAATTGAACACTGCATTGGTGCACTAAAGGCCAGGAAAGTTAGGTGAGGAACTTTGCACATCATAACAGGGCATCTCTTCATTCTTTGAGCTTAGCAAAAGCTGTCCTACCAGAATTCCAATTCTGGGAAATCTTACCTGTCCACCCTACAGCTCTCATCTTTCACCTTCAGACATCATCTTGTCCACAGACATTTGGATCCCTGGAGGATGCCCAAACTGCCATCTTAACAAGGGTGTCAATCAATGAGCCTAAAATTATTTGGGTAAACCCCCCACTACCACCACACACACACATCCAGGGAGAGGAACCGCAGCAACATGGTAGAGTGACACCGTGGACAGTGTAAGCCATGAAAACAGTAATTTATAATTTATCAGGGGTTCATGAGAGTAGGAAGGATGGGAGAGGGAGGGAAAAAAGAGGAGGCCATACCAAGGACTCAAGCAGAAAGAAAATATTTTGAAAATGATGATGGCAACCTATGTGTAAATGTGTTCGATACAGTTGATGTATGGGTTGTTATAAAAGATGTAAGAGCCCCCAATAAAATGATTTATTAATTAAAAGTTCTTTGAGAAAGGGTTAGAGAGGTGGAGCCATCATCTTCAGAGTTATATAGAGAAACAATAGCTTCCCGTTTTGATTTTGTTGCTTAATAAAGGATTTTGTGGTTTTGGACCAATTGTTTTTGAGTTACCTTATAAGCCTCAGCACTAGAAAATGTCACAATATGCTGTAGTTTCTTAATACCAATATCTTTTTAAGTGTGCTTTTTTAAATTACCTTCAGTAAGTTGCAGTTTTTGCTTGTGAGAAAGTCATCTTTAATACTGGTATTAGTAGTATTTCAGATTGCTTGATGGAGAACGTTGATTGGCAGACTACTCTGTAAAAGTCTAGGTAATATTTTTAACTTTGTGGCCATGTGAGCTCTGCCCCCACTACTCATCTTTGCCATGGTAGCACAGAGCAGCAGAGACCATTAGTCAACAAGCGAGCATGCCAGGTTGTATTTAAAGTTTATTTTCAAAAGTAAGTAAAATCCAACCAGTTGGGTATAAACCCCGAAGTTTGCCCGCATCTGACATACAGACTAATGGCATTTGAAAGTCCCAACAAGATTTTTCATAATACTCAAAACTAGAATCATTTTGTGAGCTGTCAACTACCTTGAGTCTCTGTGTGCTGTCCACCAGCAGAGGATATTCGTTTCTGTAGACTGCCGTGGGAATTACCTCGTCATCTGAGCGATCTTTGTCTTTCCTAATGATTGTAGCCAAGAAAACCCAAGTTCTCTGGGCTTGCTATAATTTGGAACCAACCCAGCCACCATTGCCATCACAGCACAGATAACACCACCTGCAGTAGGGCAATGCAGTGACCCTCATAAGGATTTTATCTGTTTTTCCGTGTTCTATATCAGCGTTCTGTTTATTTGGCCTACCACCTATTTTCGTAGGTAAAGTTATTGGGACACAGCCACGCTCACTTGCTTCCGTGTTCTCAGTGATGACTGCACCACAGCAGCAGAGGGGGGTCCTTTTACCATCCACCGTCTGGTCTGCGAAGCCCATAGTGTCCATTGATTGACCTCTGAATCTGTACCTTTATCATATTGCTCTTTATGGATGAAATTATAGGGCATCGTGCAGCAAAGCTGCTATGACTCAACTTTAATTCACTCAGATAAGTTATCAAGAAATGAGCCCCATATCTAAAGTTGCCGGAGAATCCTTTTCCCCCCCTGCTTCTGGTCTTTGTTCAAGAGACGAAGCACGCTTTCCCATAGCTTACACTTGTACAGACCAGCATCCTGAATAACATACTGGCCCTTCAAGAAGTTGTATCAGTCAGCGCAAGTCAAGAGGCTTAGCCTGTTTATGGAGAAAGGTGAGAGAAGTAGCTCAGTTGCATAAGATACGCCATCAACACACCCTCCTCACGATCCTTAGGGAAAATGTGCAGACTTCTTATCAGTGACGGGTACTTTTTCTGGGTGCCTCACATGTCAGGTTTGGAAGAAGCAATTGCTTTGATGACCGCCAGTCTTATCGTGACCTTTATTTAGGGATAAGTCAGTGGACCTTCATCCTTATTGCTGTTGTTGAATAATGTTTCAAAGGCTGTGGATAGAAACAAAGTTTGGGAGAAGGAGGGGGACTTCCTCTACTGTTTTAAGTCGGAAAGCTGGTTCACTATCCATGGCATTTATTTGTGTTCATGCTGCCCTAACTAGATAGAATTCTCCTTACATTTGTGCTCACTTTCAATTACCCACTCACTGCCATGAAATTTGATAAGGGATGATGTGGTTTATACTTTAATTCAGAGACTCCTTATAAGTTGATATTTGAAGGACAAAGTTAATTTTGTTCTTTAGTAAAGAAAAAAAATACTTGTGCAATTTTAGTACAATTTCTTAGTCACTTTTTTTTTCTTCACTCATTACTTTGGGGAGATTTTTCTCTCCCGCTGTTAATAATCCTATTTAATCGGTGTAGTATTTGTACTTCCCCTTACAAGAATCCCATTCTGTCATAAGGGAGGTAATCTTGAATTGTCGGACACGGTGTTTTTCAGTTTACCCGGACATCTGCACCATCAGCCTGGTGGCAGTGAGTGATGTGAGCAAACATGCTGAGAGAATTGCCTTTTGGGACGATGTCTATGGCTTCACCATGTCTTGCATGAAGAAAGCAGTTATTCCAGAAGCGATAGTGGAAGTTTTAGATCCAAAGACCCTGACTTCTGACCCTTGTTGTATTAAGGTAGGTGCTTTTTCACACTTTCATTTTCTAGAGGAGTGTTACCATTTTTTATTAATTTGCATTTATGAAATTACTATTTAAAATTAGTACATTGATTTTATGAATGGTTCTTCCAAACAGTAATTACTCTCCCAATTTTAATCAGACTTACACATATGGAGGTCCTATTATTTGCCATTTGTCTAAATCACCCCCTGCCGTCGTAGCTCTCTATATTTGAAATTCCTTACTCTCATGCTTATAACCCTTTAAATGGAACTCCCAACAGGTTGTGTCATTTTCTTGTGTGTAGCTGTTTTGTTATTTCTGCTTTATCAGCACCTCCTGGCTTTATTTTCCTCTCATTGACAGCCACATTATTCATTCATGTCATCTATTCCACACAATTTAACTTTTCTCATTCAGATTGCTTCCAGCCTTTCTGAATTAAGTACTTGTGGTAGGTTTTCCCATAGAAAGAAAGCCCTACTATGTTCAGATGTCTCAGTTAATCCCTTCTGTGCTTTCGTGTCTTACTCTTTACCATATCACTCTGGATAGGTTTCTTGTGAGTCAGTCCTGCTATACATTTTGCAACGAGAAATCATGTTGCTTTTATTAAACTTTCTGTTCCAAGTAGACCAGCAAATCTACAGTTTGTTCAGAATTTGATTCTGAGTAGTGTCTCCTCTTTTTAGGTACAGTATTACTTCTGTAGCATCAGTAATTATTTTCAGCACAGAGAAGATATTCTGCATATGTCCACTGATTTCCTTAAATGACTACAGTATCTATAATTAGCATTTAGTAATACACATGTAAAGTTTCTTAACAAAAGCCAGCTGACAGAATTGCTTTCAGCTTGTAAGAAGAAAAAGGAAGCTACAGCCCGCTTGATAATTCTCGGACTGCTCATCACTGGTACACTGATGGTGTTCAGGGATCTGCTTTCACTCTGGCTCAGAGCTGCAGTGTGCGTTGTAACCAACTTGGGTTTAAGGCTGAGAAGAAAGCCAGGGCCTGGGACTAATTTCTCTCTCTAGTGGTCTCGCTGTTTGATGCCAGAGAACTGCTGGGACTGAATAACAGAGAGAGAATTAGGACTGAAAAATGAAGTCTGTGTCCTGTGGTAGTCTCTTTTGTGCTGCTATCATAGCAGCACCTCAAATTGGGTGCTTTCAAATGCAATAGCAAATGACTTTCCAAAAGAAATACTCTTCATGAGCATATGTTTTCAAGTTGACGTTTGCTATAAGAATCTTTGCTGTTATCACAACATGCAGCATATTTTCTAACAAGCAAATGAATAAGCTGAGGGAGTACAAAATTATTTTAGGCAGAACACAGAAAAACATGTTTTTATCTTATTCATTATGTATTTTTTTTTGTAAGAGAAACTTTAATATACCAAAGTCATAATTTGATATAAAGGGAGTTTCAAAAGTTTTATGGGAAAATTCCATTATCTTTTAATTCCATTTTCCCATAAACTTTTGAAACTCCTCTTCTATGTTGTGGCTTACATCAAGCTAATTTGTTTAAAGGAGATATCAACTAATATATATCCCTCAGTGATAAATATATCAGTGATGTTTCTTTAAAAAGAAAGTGATGTTCATCTTTTTTCTCCCCCTGAATCACTTCCCCTCTTCTTGAATGGGCAGCGTATAGATTGCCATGCAACATCCATCTCAGATTTGGAGTTTTCTTCAGATTTTACGCTGAAAATCACAAGGACATCTATATGCACGGTAAGGTATTTAATTCTGCTTCCACAGTTTCACTTAGCAGTGTAGTTGATTGGCTGGCTAATATACTAATTACTAGACTTGTGATAAATGAAAAAGACTATTGCCTTTGACAGTCCATCTTGCCTTTACTTAGCCATTGAATAGACATGTTTTAGCAATAGGTTGGTAGACCTCAAAAGGTGGTCTAGTTCAATAGAGAAAGTATTATCAAATCCTGTGTACATAATGTTTTTTATACATTCTCCCATTATGACCTATAATATAATTAGTTAATTAATTGAGAGCATTTCAACGATGAATGTTCCTGTCCTACTTCTCTACATAACTATCCCCAACCCAGTAACTCTTAAACATAATTTAGGTGCAAGTAAAGTTCAGTCTAACGTATTTTATAATGTTTTTAAAAAAGAACTAAGACTTTGGTTTTGATCTAGCTTAATCCGTATGGTATCTAGAACAAGTATGGGCTTTGTAAAAAATTAGCCAGACTTGAAGTCAGATTAGCTTCTGTCATGTACCAGTTTGCTCTTTTGTTACCTCTTTTGTTACCTACATACTCTGTACATGGGGCTATCAGTTTTAAGTTGAAAAATTATGTTTATCCTGAAGAATTGTTATAAGATTGTATATGTGAAAGCCCTTAAACAATATAGCCTGAAATAATAGGCTATTAAAGATAGGTGTTTTAAATGTGTATTAATGTTAAAATAACAACTTTTATATTTATTAAGAGATTTAGAATATTAGTATAATATGGGCATTTACTAAGCCCATATGAACTTAAACAGGTGTTAGTGATATCAATATATTCTAAATTCTAGTTAGAATTACAGATCATTTATTTAGAAGCTCAAAATTTTATGAATATTGTCTTGTCAGAAAAATGCGTAAAACAGATTGAAGTCATGTTGACTCTTCAACCTGCCTCTCAAGTATGTTGTTCGGATTACCATGCAGACTTGATGGCTTCTTTTAACAATTTGCTTTCATGTTCTGAGGAGTTCTTCTTTTAGGGGAAATTGATTTTATAATGTTTTAAAGCTTAGTCCTATAGATTTCAGATTTGTACTTTTGGTACCCATTATATTCATCTTTTTAATTAATAGACAGTAAAATTTCGTTCTCCCTATTTCCCCCAGATTTTCTATTTCTGGTTCTTTTGTAGGTAAAACTATTGGATCAATTTAATTTACAGGCTGTCTTCCTAAATTTCCTATATATTTCAATATTCATAATGTTTGAGAGTTGAAAAAAGAATGTCTTGATTAATGAAAATTTATCAGTGCTTAAAAACTGTTATATCATCATATTAAATATTGTTTCATAACTTGAATTTTTACCTGGGATATCACACAATCTTCACATAGATCAGATAGAATGGACGAAAAACTCCAGTGAAAAATCTCAAAAATTGTGCTTGTCCATTTCAGTTGTGCATATTGTTGAACTTTGTATAGGCAGAAGGAGCCCTGGTGGCGTCATGGTTATACGTGGAGTTGCTAACTGCAAGGTCAGCAGTTCAAAACCACCAACTTCTCCGAAGGAGAAAGATGCTTTCTGCTCCTATAAAGAATTAACCGTCTCAGAAATCCACTGGGGCAGGTCAGCTGTCTTACAGGGTCACCGTGAGTCGGAATGGACTTGATAGCAGTGGCTACTCATAGGAAATAGAGGGTTAATGACTTTCATGGTCATGATCCTTTTTTTGTTGTTGTTTCATCAGGCTCCTAGTTTCAGATTAAAAAAATCCAAGTTGTCTAAGCAGAAAGGGATATTTCTTAAAAGAATAAGCCCTAAAGAAACACGATTTTCAGCTTTCAGAAACCAGACCTTAGAACTGGCCTGCCACAGATCTGCCTGTTAGGATTAAAAAGCTGCCTGCACTGCAGTAGGCGCTCTAAACCCTGCTGCCTCTGGGCCCACTCAGTCAGTGGAGCTCTTCCCCCTCCACACGCCCCAGAGGAACCAAAGCCTCTCACCACCACCCTGTTCCACTGGCCTGCCCCCAGCCCACGTCACTCAGGCTCCCTTCCAGGTCTTCATGCCGCACATCTGATGGCTGGACCCAAGGCCACATGAAGCTGTAGCCAAAAGCCTTGGAAAGTCATTTCCACTGCAGTGGTACAGAAAGGGTCTATACAACAAGGGTGGAATCGCCTTTTACTTCCTCTTATTTGGGGTGCAGGTAGGAAATTTCATGTTAAAGGAATCTATCGATGATCCTGCTTTTATGATGTTTAAGCGTAAAGGGCAAAATAAGAAGAGAAAGTAATGCTGATAAACTGTTCAATCCACAGATCCTAAGCAGCATTTTGGCATTGAATAATGTTAGCTTTATTTATGTTAATTATAGGTGCTTCAATAAGCTGTGTTAACCATAAGTGCTTACTGCATTGATCCAAGCGTTCCATAAGAAGAATGATCAGAAATAAATTTAAATTATCTTATATCCGTAAAGTACCTTTTAGATTTAGATTTTATTCACCACTTGCCTGGATGAGTTCAATGTAAGTCTTTTGAGGAAGGAGGCAGACCTAAACTTTGGAGGCAGACTGCAGGAGGTAGGAATGGACTTTTGGGCCATTCTCTGGTGGCTCCTGAATGGCAGAGTTACGTAACACTTCATGAGGGAGCTGTTCTTTCAAACCATGTTTATTGGAGGCATGTCAAGTCCTAAAAATAGAAACTATAGTACTTTAGCACTGACTGTTCACGCTTCTCTGATGATTCTGTCAGGATAAATTGTCTTCCTGTGTTAGAACATCTCTCAGTCATTGAACAGTTGCATGTCAGGCAAGGCTCCTAGTCACTTTACAAACATTACTTTATTGCATCTTCGTAGAAGCCATGTATGGTGGTTATTCATATCATTCTCATTTTACAAGTAAAACAAATTATTGTAATGTTTACTTTTGAAATAAAACCTCTTTACTCTCCACCGACCAAAAATCCCTTGTTAGAGGTGCACAGACGACTAAAGAAATATAGTAAACATTCGGGGTGCTGAAGAAACCAGGCTCCATGTTGCGTTTGAAACAGCTCTGAAAATGCGACGTGTTCCATTTGAGCAGAGTGGAGGCCCTTCCTTGAGCTAGTCATCTGGCAGTTGTTGGGTGGGAGGAGGAAAGAAGACATATGAGGGAGCTTTAAAAGGTTAGTGGAAAAATGGAATTAAAAGGTAATTGCATTTTCCCATGAATTATTTGAAGCTCCCTTGTATGTAATTAAAATGTTCTCCTGCTTCAAGAAAAGACTGAAGTTTCTATGGTGAAATAAGTGATATATCCTGTCTTTAGCAGCAGGAAGGGGAAAACATATATCTCAGGATCTTCTCCTTCGACCCCCGCCCCCTCACATTTCAGAGTTTGAGTAGGCATTTCTGTTTCTTGGAAACTTTTCCTTCCCAGCAAGCTTACTTTAAGTCTGACATGAATGAGGTGTTGTGTTTTGCCTAATGCTTTTATTGAGGCTTATTTTGTGTGGCCCCTAGCTAGCTACCCATCTCTGTCAGTGACCTTTTGCTCTTTAGGGTGAAGTCAACGACTTCTACTCTTACCCTACCACTTTCTTGTGGTTCCTTAAGTCTGAACTCTCAGGTTGCTCTAAATCCACATGCCACCCTCCTTGCTTAGGAAGAATCCATTACAAACCTGTGAAAGGGGACAAGTGCCTGATTGAAACTTTCCCCTTTCAACTTGTCTAGAGAATTGACCGAAGAGATGGGCTCAAAACCCGGGATGAGGAAGAGAAAGTAACCTTGTGAGGAAAGAGGGGTAGTATCGGAGACTGAGTGAGAGGTACAAACGCAGCATTGAATGGTTTCTCTTCTTAGACCCTGAACCTTGAATACAGAGCTTAAAAAGTGAGATGGGGAAGTTCTCTGAGTGATTCAACGATATGTGTGTAATCGTGTAGTTACTAATGAGATGCTGAATGTGTGACATAATTTTAAAAATTGGAGTAAACTGGATTTTGCAAAGTAAAAAGTTAAAAATGCCCCATTTGCATTTAATTTTAACCACACATGCTGTAGACTGATCGCGTTTTTTCAGTGACTTCCTCAAGGTTGAGAGGACCTTTAATGAGGGAAAAAATCACTCTCTTTGCAGTCTCCCTCCTCTAACTCAAACACAAACAGAATACAAGGAAAGGCATGTGGTGCCATTATTTATTTACTGCTTTGCATTTATAAACTTTAGTTTATATTTTAGAAGTTTACCATAATATATTTATAGGTAAATGTCTTGAATCTTGATTAAATGTAATGGATGATTGAAAAATTCCCAGTTAATACCAGTAACATATATAGCCATGTCCTAAGCATTTTTTTACTGTAATATATGACATTAAAGACAGTTTAAATAAAATTGCCTTTTTTATGATGGGAGGAATATGAAGGGTTATTTAGCAGCCGACGGTCCATCTATCACATCAGCCTGTCTAACCTAGCAGCAAACGGATTCTAAAAGGCCATTATTTTTATGGAAAGTTTATATGTATTGAAAGGCAAATGGTTTAAGGCTATAAGATTTAGTATCAATATGTTCTGTCTTGTGAGTATTAATTTATTTTTAATGTCACTTGTGTAATTGCGTAATGTTCTCTTACTGTGTGCCCCCGCAGTATTCACATTAGCATCTGTCTGTAAGTTCTTTGCAGGTATAGGGTAGAATTCTCTTTCATAACCCTAGATAGACATTAAATGCCTTTTTTATAATGGAGTTTGTATAACAAGTAAGTTATTTGCCTAAAAAATGAAAGTAATCAAGTTGGTTTTATCAAATGACATATTAAGACATGAATATGTTCGCTAAATTTTTATTTGAAACATCATCTTCCCTTCAAATAAGCATTTCAGATTTTAAACTCAACCAGGATAGCATTTTTCCTTTATTCTACTTATTTGTTATCATGCATTGAAATAATATGTACTGGGTCCAACCAGTTCTTTTATAACTCATTGTGACTTCCTATGTTTCAGAGTAAAACTGTGTGTAGGC